CATTTGCAGAAGAGATGATTGAAAGGCAGTTTCTTGGTTTTTGTTTTTGTTTTTTCCCTAGCCAGGGCTATCTGGAGGGTACATCTTTCCAGGTTTTATTGCATGAGGTAGCTAACGGAAGTGTTTGCTCCTTCTGCAGCCCAGGCTTTGATGACAGATACGGAATTAGGCATCCCAGTTCCTTCTGTCTCTTCCCCCAACACGTGCCTGCCAGCCTTCCACCCTTCTTGTGCTGTGTGGTGAGTCAGCCCAGCATGGTCTGTGGGCTGGGCTGGACAGGGCTTCAGTGGTCAGGCATGGAAAGTTCCAAACACCACCTACAACAAAATGAATGTGTGGGTTGTATCCCAGCCACACTGGTAATACTCCAGGCATTGCCTCAGCTGCATTTGGTGGCAGTGTGTCGGAGAGAGCAAGCATTGGCACTATCAGGCTTTGAGCCTTCCTTTCTTTAAGTTAGTAAGTGGATCAAGAAAGCATGAGTGATGTCTGTGTCCTACTTCTCTAGGCTTATCTGTGGCTTCTGCTGACTAAGTGATCACCTGGCACTTTTACTATTAAGATTACCTAAGCAAAACCAACAAACTATGGATTATTCATAGAATGGTTTGGGTTGGAAGAGACCTTAAATATCTAATTCCAACCACTGCTACCACAGGCAGGAGACCTTCCATAAGACTAGGCTGCTTAAAGCCCCATCCAACCAGGCCTTGAACACTGCCAGGGATGGGGCAGCCACAGCTTCTCTGGGTAACCTGTGCCAGTGCCTCACCACTCTCAGAGTGAAGAATTCCTTCCTAATGTCTAATCTAAGTCTTCTTCTCCAGATCTCTTGTAGGCCCCCTTTAGGTACTGGAAGCTGCTCTAAGGTCTCCCAGGAGCCTTCTCTTCTCCAGGCTAAACAACCACAGCTCTCTCAGCCTGTCTTCATAACAGAGGTGCTGCAGCCCTCTGATCATCTTTGTGGTTTCTGGATTCACTCCAACAGGTCCATGTACCCTGTACTGGGAGCCCCAGAGCTGGATGCAGCACTGCAGGTGGGATCTCATGAGAGCAGAGGGGGAGAATCACCTCCCTCATCCTGCTGGCCGCATTCACTTTGATGCAGCCCAGGCTACTAATCCCATATTAATTCCGTTAATTCCAGCATATTAATTCTATGCGTCTCTAAACTGGTAGGATTTTTATCATCAAATCGTCTGCATATTATTAGGTGAGGCACCCAAAAGCTAAGGAAAAGTGGGTCTTTTCTCAATGGGCTTAAACAAAGTACAGCAGTCTTTAGTGGTAGGGAAAAAAAAATCACAGGGCTTTGCAAATGAAAAAACCTGACAATTTTTAGGAAACTTGCCATTTAGATAACAGGCTTTGAGCTGTTTTGAGGGTTGGTATTATCTATAGTTCCTAATGAATGCTAGGTCGGTTACTGACTTCCTGGTACAATTCAGCATCTTGTACATCATTAAATAAATATTGTATGTGCAAATAAAGACTTGCTACACAGCAAGCCTTCAGCTGATCTTCATCTTTAATATGTTCCAATGCGTCACTATCAAAGTGCAGCACGGCATTGGGAGTTTCTAACTGTAATCTTTAAAATGTTGACCCGACTTTAACAGCGAGAGTCAAACAGTTTGTACCTGTGGGCAGGAAGCAGTGCAGGCACGTACTGTGCAGTGAAAGTTAGGCTTGCTTCCCCAGAAACCACTCTGTAAGAACTGATGTGATGCAATGCCTCTTCCCTGAAGGGCAGGGAAAAAAATCCAGAAAGTCCCTCCTGCCTGGCTGAGGGGGTTTTCTGTGGTTTTATTTCTTTTTTTCTCCTGTATTGTAGTTTTTTCCCTGTGTGAAGTAATTTTGCCAGTCCCCACTGAGCTGGTGAAGGGCTGTCCTGCCACAAACGCACCAGGAGCTGAGTCCCTCCAGCTGGGAGAGGCAGTGACTGGGGAGGGGATCTAATTGCAGTTGCCAGTGATACAAACATTGGCAGAAAAGAAACTTGTCGGAGGCCCCCAGTCAAAGCACAAAGAGCATCTGTCAGAAGTTACAGTGGGGGGATCCCACTTGGACGTGTGAGGGAAAAACTCATGCTGAAAGTGGTAGTGTGGGATAGAACCGCTATTAGCCCTCTGAGCACTAGGGTGCACCAGATGATCTCTAGAGCCCCCTCTTAAGACAGGTTTTGCTGTGAGTCCATGCTGGCTACTTAAAAAGAGACTGGAAACTACGTCTCCAACTGAGAATAGTCTTTCAGTCCAGAATTATATGAACCACCCATTTTTTTATTGTCAGTTTGCATGAAGTGACATGTATGAGAGAGACTTGCCTGGCCTCTGCCAGTTACTAGAAGTAATCTCTATGTGCTTTGGGAGTTTCTTCCCTTTCTTCATCTTCCCACAACCTCATTCAGGTGTGTAAGCGAAACCCACCCTCACATCCACTGCAAATATCAGAGACTGATACCTGAAAAGCCAAAGGTGGTGCTGCAGAAGCAGATCCAGGGTTAAATTTTCTCCTCCTGGGGATGGGGAACAGCTTGTTCAAAGGAAAAACACAAACCACCAAAACCAGTGAGGTGGTGCTATCAGATTGGATGAGTCAGGCAGCTTCCAGCAAGAATATATTTGACTTTCACCTCTGTGTAGCAATATCCAATCCTCAAGAGAAAGATGTCTGCTTACCCAACATTCAGATATGTTTTTATTCCAGGAACAGAAAATTCGCATGCCCACAGTTCTATGTCAGTTCACTGAAACACCAGTACTGCTGTTTCACAAAGGTTTGGATCAGAAAGATACTTCAGTGTATGCTACCTATGTGGACTCTGCTGGGGAAAGTAATACATTTTAATTTTCCATCTTTTCATAAAGTACTTTTCAGAGTATTCTTAAAAAATTTTGTTTTACAATGCACATCATCTATAGTGTTCCTCTATTGTTTTCATTTTAAAACGTACAATACATAGATTCTGCGAAACTCAAGATGTATGAACATGTCTGTGTATGTGTGTGTGCAGCTGGTACTTGTTTGACTGCAACTATCTTTGCTGCACAAAGCACTGAAGAAACATGATTGAAGTTGATGAGTGGGACAATGTTATGATGCTAGTAACCTGGGGATTACCAGTGGCTGTTTCAATAATCACAAGAACTATGTAAAGAGTTACTGATTACCTCAGAGTGCCAAACCCAACTGCAGATAAAGAGCTATCAGAGTGAGGCATGTGGGAAACTCGGAGTTTTTCCATGAGATAGGCATTTCATTCCCTGTTTCACCACATGGCCAAGCTGCCTTTTCCGAGTGAGACCCATCAGTGCTGGGCGGGCTGGTCTTCAGCTCTGCAGCTGTAGGAGGAACCACCATCAACAGCAATTCTGGCAAAGCTCCATGCTTCAGCTCCTTACAATGGGCTGTTATGTGGAGTACGGGAAGGTGTGTTGGTACAATTCAAGTAAGCAAATACACAACCTATGACTAAACCTTGATGACCTTTTAGTCTAGTAATCGGTTTATAAAAGTTCCCTATTCCCGCACTTGAGTTCATATAATGTGATGAAATTCTAATTGCATTTGGTGTGGGGAACTACTTAAAGGTCACTGAATTTTGAAAATGTGTTGGGAAATGGATAGATGAAGAATTCCCAGTTGGTGATGGCAGGGTGGCCTTTCTGCCTTCTATCTCCATTGTGGGGTTTTCATGGTTTTAATTTTCATTTCTTTAATTCCCTTAATGGGGTTACGTAGTTAATTCAAAGCTACACAGCTAGTGTCTGAATATATCTGCTGCAGGTTTGGTGCTTGGATAATGAGATATAGCTGGCCAGCCAAACTGAGAGTCCATGCCCATGTATCTGACCAAGGACAGCTTCTTGATTAGATGATGTCCAATTTGCTGAGTATAACCAGATGCCTTTGAATAAAAAAATACCTTCATTTGAACCAGGACTTGCACTTTTTTTGTCCTGACAGGTGTTTTGTCTGCAGCTTTTCCCAAAATAAAGATGATAAGCAAATTTCTGTTTCTGCAGACAGGTAGTCTTCATGTCCATTATTTCTTTCCATGTGTTGTTATGTAGTGCTGTGCTATGTCATACGAAATTGGGAGGTTCTCTTCTTGCTTGTCAACACTAGCTTGCAGAAGGAGAATGCATCCTGACTTTTGCCCAGCTGCAGTGGTGCATGAGTGGCAAAGTACATGTGGATGTCAGCTGTGGGAATCTTTTGGGGAGGGAAGAGTGAGGGGCAAGGCTAGGCAGGACTGCCAGCAGCCTCCCAGCTGCCACCAGAGGCACCATGCTCTTCACCAGCAACTGCCTTGGCTGAGCTTTCCATGCATTCCAAGAGCACAAAACCTGGCTCCCACCAGGCAGGTGCACATGTGGCATTAAAGCATTTACAAACAAAGCAATACTGCTTTCATCAGGGAGCCCTGGCATCCCCAGCTCTGGGGCCAGGCTCACAGGGGTGCACCTATTTGAATGGCAGGATTTGGAGGACAGCTGTGCTGAACATCAATATCTGTGCAGGCAATGTTGTTGTGCACTTGCACCAGTCAGGCATAGGACTCCTGGCAGTCTGACAGTCCAGCAGAGTGGCACTTGGAACTGATGGCTGGGCTTGCCTCCCTGTTCTGTGCCACCCTCCCAGCACCTCTCCAGCAGCCAGCATGATGTGAACATGCTGTCCAGCAGTACAGCTGGCAGAGACTTCATGGCCCTTCATTCCTCCAGTGATGTATTCCTAGACAACATCCTTCTGCAAATGCACCTGCAAACTCTGTTCTTCTGCGTATCCCCCTAAGACAGGCCAACAAATCAGGTGACATCCCATGGGTAGGTCTTTCACATGGTTACCGCAAAATTTCCTGTCTTCTTCAGCTCAGAGTGACCAGTGAGCTGAAACATAAATTAGATAGATAGATAGATAGATAGATAGATAGATAGATAGATAGATAGATAGATTAAAAAAGAACTCGTAAATAAATGAATAACTATCTTAGCATGGCAAGCAAGCAATCTTGTGTGACAAATTTACAGGATAAAGTAATATTGCCAGACATCATTTGGGAATTAGTGTCTAAAAATGAAAAGGACCTTTTCCATGCTGGTTTTCTTCATAATTAGTTCCAAACTTCAGAGTGACCACAGCTGCCAAGCAAGACCAATTGCAGATGCTTTATTTAGAGTAACTCATATGTTTCTCAGCTAAATTAAAAGAAAGCAAACCAGGCATTTTGGGAACTGCTGAAAGGGGAACTGGAATGTTTAATGATTACTTCCTCATAAGCCATGCCCACAAGAGAGATGCTCTTTATTCATGGAGCTGCTCTCCTGAGGATGAGAGGGATCATGCTTTCCTCCCTCTGCTTACTGATGCACCTGCTTCAGGAGAACATAGCTAGTAAGTAAAGGCTTTCTGCTCTTTACCTACGTAGTAGGGTGGGGGACTATGGATCTTTTACTGAATATGTGGATGAGTCAAGAAATCTCTGGATCTTTCAGTGCTTTCAAAATTCCAGTGCTTTCAAAATCAGTCTGTTATTTTGTCTTTTAAGTCTCTGAAGTGCAGATAAAACAAGCATGCTGAGAATTAAAATGATTCATATCTATATTACCAGTTTCAGTTCAACTACTGCAAGTCATACCTGATTCTGTTATATGCCAGGGATAAAGATGCAGTCATATGGGTCATGAAACAAAGAAAAAACATTGGGATTTGGGTACTTCAAAGTGATTGTTAACTGATTTTGCCATTAGTAACCATCAGTTTGAAAACAGATTATCTTTGAAATGGTTAGACAGCTTTATCTTGTAGTGCAGACTGGAAAAGCAGTGAATCTCAGGTTATTTTTTACTAGGCAAGAGCTGATAAACACAGCTGTGACAACACAGCTATAATCCCTACAGGTTAATGCTGACATGTGGAGGAAAGAGCACTTAACTTTAACTACTGATGGGGCTGCTTACTGCAGGCTTTGTGAACTGATCTGAAGGGCTTGTTTCCTGGGATGTCCATCAGGCATCTTTCACAGTAGCAAAATCACTGGGAAAAATAAGGAAACATTAAAAAGCAAAAACTCAAAAAAACTCCACAAAACCAAACCAGATAAAATTGCTCTTTTCATATTACTAAAAATATTTGTTCCGTAAGTATTAGGTCTGGTCAGTGTGACTTTGACGGTTTTGAACATACCACAAAGCCAAATAAGCTATAGTAATACCTGCTGCTTTAGGTACAAAGGCTCATGTCAGTGACAAATGTGATATATTATCATTCCTTATCTTTTATTTGCAGCAATTTTAGTTTTGGAAAACCAAGACCTGCAAGATTCAATTAAGCCGCAGAAGGTAGAGTTTCATTCATTAAACTTCAACAACACTTTGCATTGGCAGCCTGGGAGGGCCAGAGATGCAAGAGACACAGTCTACTTTGTGCAGTATAAAGTGTAAGTACAGGGGGAACTCCAGCCTCCTGCTGGACTGGGGCACATCCATGCTTGACACATCAAAGGGACTTCCCGGGTGTCACAGGATATTCTCCTCATACTGGAGAGAATATCCCATGACCTGGGGAATGTCCACATCCTGCTTGGCTGCCAGCTCTCGGTTGTTGCTGCTCTTATCAACAGCCCATAAGGTGCAGATGAGCAGACCAAGGCAGCAGGGAACAAGCACCTCCAGCAATATGCTGTGCATCCTCATTGCAGCATAGAGGTGCAGAAAAATGTAGTTTGCAGAGGACTTCTGGAAGCCACTGGGTCCAACTGCCTTCCTGAAGTAGGTCTCGCTAGGTCAGGTATTTCTGCAATAGGACATATAATGTATTTTGGTGGCCCACCTTACCCACAACAGTGCTGCAGGGTCCCTCATGGCACTTGAGGCAGTGCTAGAGACTTGTCCTCATAAGAGGTACATTCCTATCCCTGGCACACTTGGTGAGTGCCCGAAATCGCTACTGCCTTTGAGAAGCTAGTTGGTGGAAACCGGGATTCTGCCCGTCATTGAACACACTGGTTAAGCCAAAGTGGTCCCCTCTCCAGAGGGGCAAGTGTGCAATGTCTTCCCGCAGGGGTGGTGACCATATCTCTGATTTAGGTTTCTTTTAGAAAAGACAGACACCAGTAGCTCTCAAACACCCCTGAAATCAGTCTTCCCTGTTATCAAATTGAAGGGAGTTAATTTCCACAGGAGAAGGCTTGTCAGTACTGCCAAAACAGACAGCTAAAAATCTGTGTGACCCAGTCAGCAATACCTATCGCTTACATCCTTCCTCATCTTTCTCCATAGGTATGGGCAGAGCACATGGCAAAACAAAGCTGACTGCTGGGGGATTCAAAACCGTGTCTGTGACCTAACAAATGAGACCTCTGACATCCAAGAGCCTTACTATGGCAGAGTGAAAGCTGCATTGGCTGGCATTTATTCCAACTGGAGCCTCAGCTGCAGATTCACTCCCTGGAGAGAAAGTGAGTGCAATCATATGGGTCTCTGAGAATGTAACTGGATTTTCTGTGGCATGGAATATATAATTTCTGTTCACAGTTTGCAAACATGAGTAATCCTTTTCTAGCCACAAAGCAGTACCCAAAGAATTTGCAAGTCAATAGCTCTTCAGTGAAGTGTTGTGATAAACACTTGAAAGCCAACAAATTATGGATAAGTAGCCACTTATCAATAATTAAGGGATCAGCAGTGCTTGTCTGTCTTTAACCTACCCTCTTCCTCATGGAACTACACAAATTCTCTTCAGCCATTTCTGAGCTGCTAGAAGAACTGGACACAAGATAGAAAAGAAGGAAATGTTCTCTGCTTCAGGGGAAAACAAGGAAGAGAACTGAGAGCTGTGTGGCCACCATTCTCACATTTATGTGTTTCCTGACTGCTGTGTATTTAGAAAGGACATGCACAAAACTTTTTGTTGGTACAGTCATAGTGTGCCATAGCATGTTAGAAATTGGAGGACTGTTAAAATACTGAATAGTACCAGCATACCTACCAGTAAGTTCCCCATGAATTAACCTCACTGGTCAGTGGAAAATTGAATTGTGAATGTCAATGCACTTCACAGCCCTGAAGTGCAAACTGCCTTGAGCCTCCTGTACAGATGGCTCAAGGGGCAGGGTAGAAAATCAGGGCAAAGAATCCAAAGCATTTTCCTTGACCAGCCTGCAGTCAGCAATGTGCAGCATTAAGAGATTCCAAAAAGTTTGGCTCAAAATGAGATCTAAAACACAGGAAAGTTCACCCACAAAATAGCCCAAGCAACAACCACCAAGAAGTAAGGACTTTGACAGTAAATACAGCATAACATATTGTTGGTAAACAAAAGCATTAAATTGTTGAATATATTCAAATTGTGTTCTGCGAAACATTATTAATAAACTGTAACTGTGTTCATAGCTTTGGTTTTTCATCTTAGCTGTGATAGGACCTCCGACGATAGCTGTGGCTCATAGCAGCAAATCCATAATACTAAAGCTCCAGGCTCCACGTTCTCCTTATAAAAGGAAGAGAGGCAGCAAGATACCAATGACAAATTATTATGATCTGTTATATCAAGTCTTTGTAATTAACAACTTGATAGACAAGGTAAGTGCATATTCAAATATAAACCCTTTACCATTGAAAAACCAGGAAAGTATGGGCACACTATTCTTGTTTTACATCTGAAATAGTCTTCTGAGATAGTGAGAACATTGATGACTATGCAAATATTTAAAACCAAAGTAGATTATTTTTCAGGAATTGAATTTGATTGATTTGAGTTGTAATTCCTCCCTTTATTTTTTCCTTCAACTTAGTATTTCATACTCTAAGACATAGATTAAAAAACTGGGACAGGAGGGGAATTTTCTTTAAAAATAATAAATAAATCGCAAATGCTATTGACATTGTGCAAGTCCATGTGCTGCTCTCCATCCTCTATTCTTATCAAACTTTACTCACAGCACACTTGCTAGGGAAATGTGCTTGACTGGCTGTTTTTACTCCGCTCTGTCTGAAGCAACACAAGGTCCTGGTGTATGAAGGAAAACACAGGATCATTAAAATAGAAGATTTGAGGCCTGGAGTCAGCTACTGCATCATGGCTAAAACATACGTGCCAATGCTGGACCGCAGCAGTGCCTACAGCAGCAAGCAGTGCACCATGCTGCAGTGACAAGATTAACACCTCTGCGACAGGTAAGAGGTTCATCACCAGCTGAAACTGGAGATGACTCTGGGAGTCAAGAGCTATTCCTCACCAAAGGCAGTTACCCTCAAAAATGAGAAAGAAAAGTGTAGCATAAAAACTGCCATCTCGTATGACAATATTAGCCAGAGTTCTTACATCATCTCAGCTAGTTTCACACCAGGTAAGAATGATATGGCCAAGGAGATTAGAGGAATGGTGTGGATAATTATTTGTGTGCTGATATGGTCCTCAGAAATGCCTCCTGCTTCCCTTTCTTTAAACAGTTATACACAGTATTGCTTTCACGGGTTTCTTTTGCTGTCAAGTAATAATTAACTAGGAAAATGAGTTCCCTCATACCTTAGGAAAGTGCAATTCTCATGCAAGCTCTTCAATCCTGTTCAGGAATTTTTCTGATGTATAATTTGGATGAGGCTATCCTCTCTTTTCATGGCATTCTTGCAGTGTGATGTGTTTAAAAATAAATCAGTTATCAAATTTCATGAGTTTCCACGGGCCAAATGCAAGAGCTAGCTCAACTGGCTGGGCTGAAAAATCTGTTTCTTTACTTGCCTGTATCACTAGACTGTCTTCATGTATCATATGCCCAGCAGAGAGATTTACTATCAATTCTGCCTTGCAGATGCTAAGGCGCAGAGTGTATAAAGACCTAAGTCACAGAACCAACTAGGTTGGAAAAGACCTTTAAGATCATCAAGCCCAACCATTACCCCAGGACTGCCAACACCACCACTAAACCATGTCACTTGAGGGCCTCATCTACACGATTTTTGAACACTTCCAGGGACGGTGATTCCACCACATTTCTGGGAAGCCTGTTCCAATACCTGATCATTCTAATATCCAATCTAAGTCTCCCCCGTCACAGCTTGAGCTGTTACCTCTTGTCCTGTTGCTTGCTACTTAGGAGAAAAGACCAACTCCCACCTTGCTACAACCTCCTTTCAGGTAGTTGTAGAGAGCAGTAAGGTCCCCTCCTGAACCTTCTCTTCTCCAGACTAAACAACCCCAGTTCCTTCAGCCATTTCTCATGAGACTTATTCTCCAGACCCTTCACTAGCTTTGTTACCCTTCTCTGGACCCAAGCTAACCTCAGTGTCATTTACCTTAGCAAGCTGAGATTTGGGTCCTTCCTAGGGGTGATGGAGAAAAACTGGAACAGCATTAAAGTCTGAGCCTGTATTTTTGTTCTCAATTCAGTATTCTAATTATCACAGATTTTCTTCCTTCTGCTTCATAATATAATGCACAATGTTGGTCTCTCTTGATACCTCAGTGGGTTTAGGCTAAGGAGAGAGTCAGTTTCTAGGTGATACTCCTGCATTTTTGCTTGCTTTCCCCATTCTGTGAAAAGATGAAAGCTCAGATTAGAGCTGGTACAGGAGGTACAGGAGAGACGCAGGCAAATGGCATGTGTTTAATTTTTGGTTAAATTGAATGCTGTCCAGTTTAAATGCACACTCCAGCAGCAATTCTCTTTCTCTTCCCAGATACAAGGGTAACAGCAGAAGATGCCTCCCATCACAGATCCAGCTGTAAATCAACATCTTTAGTCCATGCCTGGAATACGTACTCGGTTCCTTTTTAAATTAACCTTTGTTGCATTAAAGGATTTGATCATCACAATCATTTTATGCTACAAAAAGGCGCAGGTTTTTTGTATGCCCTATATTACAATTTACATAGTATACATTTGTATTTACCAAGGAAACAGTCTTGCAATATTTTAAAAAATATGGAAAAAGCAGTTGTGAAAGTATTCTGAAGATTGTTCCTAGGGATTTTCTGTTCTAAGCCTTGGAATCAAAATACAATTTATAAAATACAAGTTTCAGATATTTTATTTCTTCTAGAACAAAGGTGGCAACAAAAGATGAAAAAAGTGTCTTTTCTTTAAAATAAGAACTATACAATACAGGAGTATACCCCATGCTCACAATGTCTTCATAGTAACCTCAACATAACTGATAGTGAAACCAGTATGTGATTAGGCAGGAGCTCGTTTAAATGGAAACAGAAAAGATCAACACTTTGAGTCAGTGACAGGCAGTTAAAGGGAAGAGAGCTATATTTCAGTAAATGATGAACAAATGCTGACCATCATTTGTGATTTCTAGTAGTCTTCATCTCACAAGGGAAAAGGATTCTTGGGCAAGGTCTAGGTAGATGCCCACTAAGCCACACCAGGATGAAGAGGTGAAGTGGCTTTTCCAGATTGCAAGTTCTATAAGTAATGAGAATCTTAATACTTAAGCGCATTCTTTTATTGACAATTAAGTGAGGGGAAGTGGGAGTGGGCAGAGAGGGCAAAGCAAGCCCTGGGAAAACCGGGAGCCCCTTGCTACATAATCCACATTTCCCTTAATTAACATGCACAAAGGTGGATTAGTTCAGTTTAAGTAGCAGACTTGGAGTTCACTTAAGCCACATCCAAAGCATTTTTCATGGTCTGTCACTAACACCTCACTTGGAGGCAGCGCTGCTGAGAGCTGCATAAGGATGCTGGCAGTAGGAGTTTGCGAGGAGATTCTGCTTCAGTAAGTGAATGCTGGTCAGCCTTTAACAAAACAAAAGAGGTCTTTACGTATTAAATATTTCCACCATCTGATTGTAACACATGCCATGTTTGAATGACTAGATTTGCAGGTGTCTAGATGTGTGCACATACCTAGTCCTTAAACCCAGGTTGCTTTCACCACGCTTCCCTTTTTTGCTTCTTTCCCATTTTTTCAACTGTTTTACCCATCCTGTATCCCACAGTTTCTTAATTTAGATCAGTTTTTGGGGAGAAGCAGGGCTGTCGTGGTTTAAACCCAGTCAGGTAACTCGTTCACTCACTCCCCCCTCTTCTTTCCCTCCCCCTACTCCCAGAGGGATGGAGAGGAGAACCGAAAAGAATGCAACTCCCACGGGTTGAGATAAGAACAGTTTAGTAACTAAGGTATAACACAAATCACTACTGCTACCACCAATGATAATAATGATAAAGGAAATAACAAGGGAAGAGAATACAACATCTCACCACCAGCCAACCCATAACTCGCCCCCCAAGCCCGACCAAGCACCGATCGAGACCTCCTCCAACCCCGCAGTCTCCCAGCCCTTCCGGCTCCCTCCCCGTTACATCCTGGGCATGACGTGCTGTGGTATGGAATACCTCTTTGGTCAGTTTGGGTCAGGTGTCCTGTCTCTGCTTCCTCCTGGCTTCCCCTCCTCCCTGGCAGAGCATGGGGCTCACAAAGTCTTTGGCCAAACCAAAACATCCTTGTTATCAGCTCTGTTCCAGAGCCAAAAGTCAAAACACAGCACTGCACCAGCTACCAAGAAGGAGAAAAATGGCTGCTACTGCTGAACCCAGGACATTATCCACCCCTTATTCCATACCATTCACGTCATGCTCAGATCCCACATTTTCAATATACCATCACTCTTATTGAAGTGCATGGACCAGTAGCTATAAAGCTGCTGCATCCATCTGGTCCATGATGTCAGGCTCCATCTCTTGTAACAGCCTTTCAGAGCAGGAGAGACTGTGTGCAGTGTTCACACTTGAGAATAACCTGGGCAATAGTGTCCATTGCTAAGTCCACCCCTCGATCATGAGTCCATCTCTATGTTGCATCTCTGCCCTGATGGTCTGAAGTGCCATGGGCTCATCAGGCTCAAAATAATTCACTGTCCCCTTCAGCAGTTTCTACAGCTTGTTGTTGGAGACTCCATACAGCTGCCTTCCATCTCCGATGCTTCCAAAGCACTGGAGGGGCCCAGTGGACTAGATACTTGCCCATACCGTCCCACACACCCTGCCACTCATGACTGTCCAGCCTTGGGGAAAATCTCCTGGTCACCCTATATTGTTGTCTAACCCCAGACAAGACCCAAACCTGACTCGGCTTAACTTCTGAGATCAGACAAAATGGTGGTGGGTAAAACACACCCTGTGTGTGTGCCAACATGCTGATCCCCATCACAATCAGCAGGCAGGTCCCAAGGGTACCCAAAGGCCATTCAAAACCTTCAGAACTCTCAGACGATGCTGCTGTACTTGTCACTGGGGCTGGTGTAGCTGCTGTGCTTGCCGGCTCTCCCACCGCCAGCTTCTCTTTTCCTGAGTCCAGCTCTTCCTCCTCTGCCTTGCTGGGAAATGCTGCGTGGTCTCCTGCATCCTCCTGGGGCTCGGCGGGCGGCTCCCGGGGGATGCTCTCGGCCGTCGCAGGGCTGAGCTCGGCTGCGGGGCTCGGCTCCTCCGCGGGGCTCGGCTCCTCCTCCGCCTATCTCCCTCTGCTCGGCAGCCGCCTCCTTCTTCTCCTCGACCGCCCCGACCTCCTCCACCGGCAGCTGCTCCCTGCCGGCCTCCGGCCCCGCTCCCGTCGCCGCTTGGTGCCCGGGGCCGCTCTCCCGGGCCGCTTCAGCAGCCGCCGGCTCCCGGGGCCGCTCCCCCTCGGCTCCCCGCAGCCTCACCAAGACGGCGGCGAGGACGAGGGCCAGGACGGTGAAGAGCAGCCGGACGGCCAGGTACAAGTCCACGGCCACGTCCGTCCCACCCTGCTGCTGGAGCCTGCCCGTATTACAAGCCATTGCCATAAAGCACAGTGAGACAAGAACCTTAGCCCACACTTGATAAACACTAACACAGCAAATACCAGCTCTAAGTAAGTTACAACATTCTGAAACTGTGAGATCAAGAGGAACAACTCTGAGAGCCAATAAATCGTCATTGTGATGAGTGACTATTAATCTGGTCAGATCTGTCGTTATCTCAACCCCTCGTGCCCCACGTTGGGCGCCAAAAAGAACTGTCGTGGTTTAAACCCAGTCAGGTAACTCGTTCACTCACTCCCCCCTCTTCTTTCCCTCCCCCTACTCCCAGAGGGACGGAGAGGAGAACCGAAAAGAATGCAACTCCCACGGGTTGAGATAAGAACAGTTTAGTAACTAAGGTATAACACAAATCACTACTGCTACCACCAATGATAATAATGATAAAGGAAATAACAAGGGAAGAGAATACAACATCTCACCACCAGCCAACCCATAACTCGCCCCCCAAGCCCGACCAAGCACCGACCGAGACCTCCTCCAACCCCGCAGTCTCCCAGCCCTTCCGGCTAACTCCCAGTTACATCCTGGGCATGACGTGCTGTGGTATGGAATACCTCTTTGGTCAGTTTGGGTCAGGTGTCCTGTCTCTGCTTCCTCCCGGCTTCCCCTCCTCCCTGGCAGAGCATGGGGCTCACAAAGTCCTTGGCCAAACCAAAACATCCTTGTTATCAGCTCTGTTCCCAGGCCGAAAATCAAAATACTGCCCTGCACCAGCTACCAAGAAGGAGAAAAATGACTGCTACTGCTGAACCCAGGACAAGGGCTTATTAAATCTCTGTATAGTACTTAGCACTATGACAAGTCTTAGGTACAGCACTGCTCTGCCGTGCCTCTTGCGCTGGGCAGAACCACAATAAAATAATCTGGGCAAAATGTTAAGAAATAGCCTTATATTTCAGCAGCGATGACTTCAGCCACTTATGGGATATCACAGCCTGAAAATATTATCTATAGTAATTCGAATTCTTTCTCAAATTCACTTCTCTCCTAAAGGGCAGCTCATGTTGCTGTTGTTACACAATGATGAAGTTTAAAGTAACATCTACTCACCCTAGTCAGAGGACAGGCTCTGACAATGCCAGATGCTGTACCTATGTCAGATGCACAGGATGAAACTGGTTAAGGTTCTCAAATCTTATAGAAGACATGAAAAAAAAGAAACAGAAACAGAAAAAGAAAAAAAAAAAGAGAAAAAGAAAAAGAAAAAAAGAAAAAGAAAAAGAAAAAGAAAAAGAAAAAGAAAAAGAAAAAGAAAAAGAAAAAGAAAAAGAAAAAGAAAAAGAAAAAGAAAAAGAAAAAGAAAAAGAAAAAGAAAAAGAAAAAAGAAGGAGCAGAGCCATAGGAGTACCTGAAGCGTTCAGACCTGGCTAGAAGGACAGCAGCTGCCATGCTATGGATCTAGGGAGAAGCTGGAAACCTGAAAGTTTTTCAATTTGATAAAATTATAAAAAATATGTAGCATGTATACTAGGAAAAACAATAAAAGGTCTGAAGAAGTCTCACACTGTTATGTTTGCTAACCAGATTTCACGTCTTCAGCAACAATGCAGGCTTACAGAAAGCAGCACAAGACTTGCAGGAACAATGCACTTCCATTCTGATGGTACCAGGATTCATCATTGCCAATCATAATGTTCTGCAAAAGCTGATTTTCTCTTCCCATTTGAAATGCATATATCCTTTCAGCTCTGCTCTGACATGTAATTTTACTGGGGGAGGGTTTGGTAAAATGACTGGTGCTGTATTTTTTTCTCTGCATCAGCAGCAGTGGCATGCTCCACTGGGCTTGCAAGACGGGGCTCCTGAAGGGAGAGGTACTTTGTTGTAGCATATACTGTCTGGGTGGTCTGCACCCACAGCTTCTAGATAGCCCTAGTAATGCTGTAGCTTTTAAAAACAGCTTTTCTGTGCCTTATTCTGTATGCTGCACAGCTGCTTAAGTGTCCGTGAGGGTGGAATGGAGGAAGAGCTCTCTAAACTACAGCTAGGGCTTTTCTGCAAGCAAGTTATTTTGGAAAGACCTGGCAAAGTGAGCTTCAGCCCTCCTTCCCCTTCCTCCTGTGGACACAAGGAGACCATCTGCTGTGGGTCCACCCCTCCAGAGCTGCCTGGGCTAGCACAGGGCTCCGCAGTTGTTGGTGCACACGCACATCACTCAGTGCAGGACACCTTTACACCGCTGGCTTGACTCCTTTTGGCCGTAAGTCGGCAAGACCCAGCTGAAAA